TCAGTTTGCAACCTGAAACATTGCTGGGTTGTACAACTGAATTTCATGTGATAGCATTTTTGTATGCAATTTTAATGCATTTTTCAGCATACATAAAAGTGCTGACATGGTTAAGAAGTTATTCCGGTTTTTGTTCTTCCGTTGCTAAAAACAGAAATTACATTTGGACATAATTTTCCTAGCAGTAGTTTATACACATTAGCAGTTTACTTTCAGTCTTAAATAGTGCACAACATAATATTTGTTTAATATGAGGAAGCAGGGGTAAGTGATCTGCAATCAGAAAGCTTGTATTAAAATGGCTCCCACAGGTTTTGTTAAACTAGGATCTGTTTCAAATCTGCACCTCCAGACACACTGCTGACAGTGAAGCATATTTGTAAGCTGCCCTTGTGCATGTAATGAAACATAGCATCGTGAGTCTGTTAAAGTTCACTATTTTTAATCACTCAAATATAATTCTTTTATAGTTCACAAAAAATAAATGTCTGCATTGCAGCAAGATGTCTGAGGCAAGGTAGACACAGTGGTGTTGTTTTACAGATCAGCCCAATCGCACTGCTCCGTGGAGTGCTTGAGCCAATAGAAGCAGAGGGTAGGTTAAAGATTGACAATTGCAGTGGCAAGACTGAGAAAGGCCTTCTGGAAATTTCTACCATCTTTGTTCCATCTAAGTAAAGCAAATTCAGCCAAGCTGAAGAATTTCATATATTTTTGGTGCTTTGTCAAGGTATGATGTTATCACTCACTTTCATAGATTGCATAATAAGAAGCACTATGTGCCATTTTTTCTACTGTTCAGGACAGATGGAATGTGGGGTTTTGTTTAAGAGCTAGACGCGGGGAAAAAGCACATATTCTTTCTACCCGAGATTTTACAGGACTGGATCTTGTTAATATCACAGTTAGACAGAGCATGTATGAAGCAATGTAGCTGAGGTTTATTCAGCTTGTCGCAAATGGCCATTATTCTAATGTAACTAGCAGTTAATCGTATAATTGCACTTTAAGTTTTCTGGCTACTAAAGAGGAATTAGAATTGCCTAGGATAAATATGATTAGCCATTATTATTTAGTGCCAACATCCAGTTACTTTTGTAATTAGCTGGACAAAGAATGCAGTGGGGGAAAAACAAAGGAGTAATCTGGATTATAAATTATGAAGAAAACAGTAGGTTTTGAAAAGCTACATGCCTCTTTCTTTGCAGGCAAACTGTTTTAGTTGGAACCTACCCCCCCCGCATCAGGCAGCAGTATTGAAATGTAGGGGAAAACCTACATTGCTGCTAAGGAAGTGTGTAATAACAGGATCTAAGTGCTCAAAAATTGTAAATAGGAGATTACATTACAAATTTAGCCCTTTATATCAGTGTCCACAAACTTCGATTGGTTCGTCTTCCTGAGCTGTCTTCCATTTTGTGATACCACTTTTGCTGGTTTCACCCCACCCCACCCCTTTTTGCTTTGTTTTCAAGTGTATTGGCCATGTGGATCCAGTAGCTGAAAAGTGATAGGTCGTGGTCAGTTTCCCATAGCAATTGTGCCACTCCAGCATAATTGGTTAAAGGGCGATAAATCTCAGTAAAAGCGCTCCTCTTCTCTTTCTGGAATTTAGGCTATTAATTTGAATCTCGTAAATATCTTGGAAGTTGAACATAACCTTTTCCTGTGTAGAATGTAGTAGATAGCAATTTTCAAATTTTGTTACTTGTGAATCCCTCATATTTTCCCCATGGGGACATGAATCCCATTATAGGGAATTTAAGTCTGTTAGACTAGGTTTGGTTTACTTAGTTAATGTCTGCAAACCCCTTATTAGTAGTACACTGGCTTTGAGGGGTCTGCAAACCAGGGACCGAAAATTGTTGTAGCAGGCCCTTAAGCTTGGCCCTTTAAATTGTATTTAGAAAGTATTTTAAATATCTTTATTAATAAACATGTCTCGTATTCATGGGTTGAAGTCTATTTTAGAAATAGCTATATAGGAATTGAGTTTTATTTGATAGAAGTTGTCTGTCATTCTTATGTTAACCCTTTATTGCCAATTGTCGTAGCATCTGTGTTTCATGCTGTGATATTAAAACCATGCTGTAGCAGAATGTTAACATCCTTACTTTAGCCAGTATAAACCTTTACTTTCAAACATGATTGTTCTCAAATTATGTTTTTAGCATCTGAAACCTACAGCTATTCTGATAGCCTTGCTTGGGCCTCAGATCTATAGTTTATAGTCTTAAAGAAGATGGTATGACACCAAGAATCTCCCTTCCTCCCCTGGTTTTCTCTTTTGTGGAGCTATTTTGAATGCACACTGAAGAATAAGGTTTTAGAAAATACCTAAATGTTCATTAAATTAAATATATATATATTTACTTTGCTTATTGTCAGAGGTAACTTAGCTTAAACATTGCTGTATGCAAATATCTGAACAAGCATTTTGTGTATGTTAATTGCTTAATACAAGTTGAGTATTTTGCAGGGAATTCTGCAAAAGGAAATGTAAAATATGAGGCGCTCAAACTGGAGAGTGAATCTAAAATTCAGTGATTTCCTTAGTAACCTGTGACTTCACGAAACTCCCTTATCTTGTGCCTTTCTAGTGAAACATTCGGATGCCAGGTGTCCTTTTGTCATGCTTTACCATTTCTGACATTTAGATGCTTGCTTCGAATATAGCACTGATGTGTAAACAAGAGATACTGTTATTGAATAAACTGCTACCATTTTAGCTACAGTGTGGGAATGAGGCAGTGCAGTGCTGTCAGACGCCATTTTAAGAATCCTGCATAAATAGCATAGCTACCGATGAGTAAGAGACTGTTATAGGTGAGTGCTTATACAAAGCTGCTATTTATTCAGCAATGGCATGCAAATATTTTTTTTCAACTTTTTACTGAATGCAGTTTTTTAAAACCATTATTTAGAATGAATTGCTACTCACAAATGTGATATAGGAGAGGCAGGAATTATTTTAAGGATGAAATTCAGTTTTAGTGCTTATAGTCTTACATCAGGGGTTTTTGTTTCATTTTCTACTAATTAAAAGGAAAAATTAATTCCATAAATATATAGTTCTTGATTTTAAAGTAATGTGTTTATTCCCTACTGTAGATCTAGATTGTATATGTGGACATTAGCTGTTTCGAGTGGTTTTCCATATATGTCAGTTTTTCTTGGTTAAATGTCAAGGTGCAGTAGTTCATCTGCAACTTTTAATTGCACTTTGTAGTTAATAAAGGTTAGAGCAGCTTTACATGTTTTGTATATGTACATTTTTTCAGGTAAGTACTACTACTAATACAGGAATGAGTTTCCTAAACAGAAATGTCAGTATTTTACTTACTGGTCTGAAATTTGAAAAACTGAATTTCATATAAAAATCCCACTCTATCTTCAGTTTATTACAGAGCATATTTAAAAATTAGGAACTAAATTCTTTTTGCATTTTTACCTAAGTATCAGTAAATCTTGTATGTTTGCATTCCTTATTTTTTTTCTTTCTATCCCCAGCTATTCTCAAAGCAATAACCTCCACCCCTCCTCCCCTCATTCAGACAAGTTAAAACAATTTGTATGAAACAAATTAGTTGAACATTTTAGAAAACAAATTCTTCTTTCTTTTTTTTTTTTGTAAGTTTTGTCAATACAAGTAGGGAAGTTTTAAATGATTAATTGGTGTTCTAGTCAATGGACAGTGAAACTGGCAAAGCTTAAATTTCAGTTGTGTTCTTAAAATATGTTCCTCTGTTCATTCATCTTAAGGATTAAATAAGACTAGCTTTCAGAATGACATAAGGTATTTATTGTAGTCATCTAGGTACTTAACTGAGTATATACCAGTATCATTTCTGATCTGCAGCCTCAGAGCATCACATTCGTAGTACACATGCATGATAGTAACGCATAATGTCTGAAATAACAGGTCTAAGCCCTGCAAAAATGAGTTCTCAAAATGAAACTCTCTAGGATAGTCTACTGGATCACACAGTTATTGTTTCTGTAGAACTAGATGCTAGTTTACAATTATTTTGCTGTTGGTATTAATTTTCTTTTTATTTTGTTGTGGGTAATAGTAAGGTACCTGTCATTAAGGATCCATTTTTCTTGAATTATTTTACTTGAAAACTTTTGCTGATTTCTGTGTTTGGCAGTTTGTATGTTTACATTTTCAGAGTATTGCTTGTATTGATGGAAGATGCAACGGTGAAAAGATCTTTCAGCTTTAGAAAAGTTACTGTAAACTTGCTGTGAATTGCTAGCATGTATTTACAAACTTGAGTCTTAAAAGATTACCACTACAATCATCACTGCCACCATTCAAACAGTGTCATGTTGTGCGAGTCATAATACATTACAGCAAATAAAACAATGGGAGATGCTTCTGAAGAGCTGTGAATTTTAAGTATCTTTTATAGCTATGACTAATACGCTTTTTTAACTGCCCCCCCAACATTTTATTTTTTTCAGAACAATCTCAATTATTTTCTTACATGCTTCAATGTTTGTGCCCTTGAAAGATTGAACGAGATTAATTATAGTAGAGGATATGGAGATGCAATCTGTTCCTCTAAGGCTCAGTTTTCATAGTATAGTATAAAATTGCTGCATTTTGTTTTAGATGTGGGTATGTGTGTATAGAATATATGCACCTCCATTGCTAAGAAAACTGAAGAACCTTTGTGTCAAGTGATGAATACGTGTGTTATTTTATACTTAAAATCTTTGGGAAAGCTGTCTTCAGGCATCTTACATATGATGTATCAGAGATGGATCAAGTCAAGATACTTTGTTCATCTTGGAACTGCTTACGAAGAATGTTTTTCTTGTCTCTATAGATCTGTTGAAAGAACACTCAAAAAGGTGATGGCGGAAACTGGCTCAATTTCCTGAATTAAACTCATTAGATGGAGAGAGACAGATTCAGAGCTGAAGAAACCTCCTATGCTGTAACTAATGCATAGGAGTTCTGAGCTGTAACACCCCTGCAGTGCTAGGTTTGGGCCCACAGTTGCAGAGCATCTTCAGTCAGCTCTGTAACTTGCCCTGCTACTTTGGCCAGGGATGCAGGAACAGTTCCTGCTACTTTGTTTCTGTATTGATCTGTCATACCCATTTCTCAACTCCGTGTCTTGTAATACTGACTTGTAGCAACTACTGTATCTTGCTTGTTATATCATGTTCCTCTGAGATTGTGATTTGAACAACATAGCACCTGAGAGATTTGGATGAGTCTGGAATGTTATGATTGCTTTAATGTAACATAGATGTGAGCTACTGCTAAAAGGACGTTACTCTTTTCCACCCCTTCCCACGTGTGGTACACTGCCATTTCCTCTTTTCTGCACAGTGAGCTAGATCACTGAACTGATTCAGTTGAGATGAATATGATTTCTGGAACATAAAGTTAGGGATTGGGGAAACCATTCCTTTTACTAGCAACCTGTGTAAAATGATTTTAAGACTTCAACCTGAGTCTCGCGAAGATTTGTATGTCCTAGTCTGTGGCTGAAATTTGATCTATATTTTAAAACCATGTAATGTATACTGCCAAATTACTTCACTCTTGACAGAATTAGTGTGTATTATTACTTATTTACCTGTGTGCGTTATTCATATATACGTGATGTTTTAGAAATATGGGTCTTGTTGCAGTTTGGTGATACTGAAATAGGATTTTATAAGGGGGGAGGGGAAGAAAAAGCCAATGCAACGTGGGAAGAGAACAATGAACCCATCCCTTCTCATTGCTTAGGAAAGAGAATGGGCAGAGGCAAGTGGCACATGAAATATTTTGGTGTCTGCAACACACTGCCAGCTCCTCTGTGATGGACGCCCTCTGGGGAAGGGTGTAACAAATGTGCAGTATAATTGATCTGCCCATGCAAAAGAAATCTGTGAAGCATTGTGCTAGGTCAACTCTGCTACACATTTACCATCATTCTGGTCACATGGGTGCCTTTGCTTGCGGCTGAAATTAACAGCATAGTCCATGAGCTGGGAGATTGGATGCTGATAGAATAGAACTTCTCTTCAGTGTTTTATGACTTTAAAGAGTTTAATTTGTAAATTATTGCTGTATACAAATGACAAGTAAAGGATAACTATTTCTGGAGTTCACGGATCTTCTCAGCTTTGGGTCTTCAATATATTAAGCTTGGTTAATTTGTATTTAAAGTTTCTGCTGACATACTGTCCTGTTTAGAAGTGTGAAAGGAATTGAACCCAACACCACCCCACCCCGGTAGCTAATAGGTGATTAGAAGTAGTTTTGACAAACACCAGACTAAAAAGTCCTTCTGATGGTTAAGTTTTACTTCGTTTAGGAAGCTGTTTTAAGTTATACCAGTAACAAAACTCCTGCTAATATAAACTAGTTGTCAGGCTGAAGAGTTTCTCTGATATAAATGTAACCAAGTCCTCAGTGTTGTTTCTGAGCTCCAGTTGGCTGTCTTGGGCAGATTTAACCACAGTGGCTATCTTCTTGCCTCTGAGGTAGAAATAGCTGTCCCTAGAGCTGGGATGGCTGAGTAGAATCTCAGTCCACTCTGTAACAGCAGTAGATCACAGACTGCCATGTCAAAGTAAACTGGTATGAGCAACAACTTACATTAACAGACTAGACAGTAAGTTGTCACTACAGAGGAAATGATCTACATGTTGTTTGGCTGTTGTGCTCTGATGATATTTATGGATAACCGTGATACCAGCTTCAGGCACCATAACCTGATTTGTCTTATTTTGAATTTGGGTTTGCTTGAACATGATATGTTGTCTTTTATATTTCATCTACAATAGTCAGATCCCCCAAAGAGGTGTGTAACTTAATATCCATTGTAGTTCTTTTTTCTTCTCCCTTCCAGCATCCTTCCCCAAACTGACTTAACTAGCCAAATTCATTGAGTTATTTTCTTGAATGGCATCGCTATAAGAAAGTAGAAGATTGGCAAGCCAGATATAGTTTGTTGTCTACTTAATCCTGCCTGGAGTGAATTAAAACTGTATATGTAAGACTGAATGGTTGAATGATAGTAACAAATCTGTTCCGTTTACTCTTTATTGTAGTTAATAATTGGTGGAATTGTATTGACAAGGAATTATAACTATTCAGTTCTCTGTTATATAATCTAGTTTCAAATAGAAATTATTTATTTAGTAGTTATTTAATAGTTTTTAAAATTGCATGTTACCTTCTAGTTTTGCAAGCTGTTCTGTGTTGCTAAACCTGTTACTTCAGCTAATCCGTTCACTGATGCTGGTGAGTGTGTAAATGTTGGCAGGCATTTGTCCACACAGTTTATAGAGGCCTTAGATTAGGAGCTACAGGGAACAGAATTCCTGTTTGTCTGTCACATACAATTTATGTATACAGTGACATAATCTTCATTGCATGTTACGAGACTGTTATTAGTATGACAATGTTACCTTTGTAATTGGTAAATGTGCAGCATACATGTGTACCTGGGTTGTTTCTCTACTTGTTTTGGTCAGTGTATACTCTGGCAAACAGCAAACATTTCATTTCATCAGAAATTTTAATATAGTTGTATTTGACAATGTTATGTTGAACTTCTATACATGAAGTTAGACATGAGAATAATACAATTTATAACTATTCTAATTCACCTTTTTGAATCCTGCAGCTTGGCTGAAGAGGAAATAAAGGCAGAGCAGGAGGTGGTGGAGGGGATGGATATCTCCACTCGATCCAAAGGTGAGTAAGAAGGAATGTTTAATCTATGTTTTACAACAAATGAATATTTTTAAACCAGGATAGTGAAACTGTGTAGTCTATCATGAAGCTGCTCTTCAGTGAAGACTCAAGACTCGTTGTATTTTTTTACAATGGCCATTGTATGTTAGAAAGTGTTTTAATTTGTGCTTGGTTTCCATTACATGTCAGCACTCCCCCCCCACTGGTTATTTCTGGTTTATGAATAACTAACTTCAGTTAAATGATAAAAAAAATCAGCCTCTTGTATCGTCTCACTTATCATGACTTCCTTTACAGTGCTTTTAGATTTGCAATGTAGGAGAAAGTAGTAGTAGTAGTAATAAGGTAGTATTTCCTACAGTAATGAATCTGAATTTTCATAAGAATAAACACAGTAACAATTCTGTTTCCACAAAATGGGTCCCCTGAGCAGTATGTATTTCACAGACATTTACGTATCTGTCCTACTACCCTGACATGAATTAAACTTAGAGGTGGAATTGCAGGTGGCTGATACTTTCTGTCCTTCTGGTTTCTGGAGTTTTCCCTGTGGATGAGTTACTACAAGAAAATGATGTTATCTGTCAGTGTAAAGCAAGCCAAATATGTAACCATCTGTATCAGTGTAAATATTCCCACTGTCATTTGAAGTGAGGGAACAGAAATGCCCTTCACTTGGAATACTTGCACGTTATTGTTTACTCTGGTTCTTTGTAATTGAGTGCCAGCTGCCTGTCCATCTCCTGTACTTGCAGCTGACTTTGCAGCTCAGTATACTTGAAAGCCATTTCTGTAAAATGGCAGAATTGGTTTCTACCAGGCTTTTTGAATTCTGGCGCATACCCACTGATTCTTCACATTTCTGCTACAGGGGTCGAGTCTAGTTAACTCTGAATGTGCAGATGTAATTGTCTTGAAAGCGTGGCACAGATCATCTGCATTGCTTTGTTTTTTAATGAGGTAGCTTGGGTAGATAACATGGTTATAAAATTGTGTTTAAGTCTTGTTTGTGCTAACAGACAGTAAATTGCTTGTTTCAGTTCTCATGGTATGGTTGGATGAGGTAGTATAATCTGACAGCTCAGAAGAGATTTGCTTGCTCCTTTTGCTCCTTCTTCCTGTCCTTTTCTCCTTTCTCTGCTGCTGGTCTTGCACACCAGTCTCCATCACTGGGCTGCTGTTGATGTGTACTTATGTCTGTATTTCAGTTTTCTAAGCCAGCAGAAAGTAAGCTGGTTTTTGTTGCTTTAATGATTGCTGCTGAGTGGGGTAAGCTCCAAGCTTTGTGCTCACACTGCTTACTTCCTTTGTGGTGCTTGTTAGATCCCAGCCAGTTGAACTTTCTAACCAACTTAAAAACTGAAACATTATTTTGCTGTTGTAGTGACCAGTCTGATTGTGAAAGAGTTTGATGAGTATGAGAACTCGATAGAAGAGATGAAGGGTCTCTGGATGCATTTATCTGTGCATGAAATCTCACATTCATTTCGCCTTAGAAAGACTTTGGCCCACTTATTAGTTAAACTGTTACTTAGGTCACTCTGACATAATCAATGTCTAAAAGTAATTTATGAGTCTGATATCTATTTAAGTAGATGTCTGCATCTTAGTGCTGTTGCTTTACTCAGCCCAGAAACAGGTGTATGGTCCATACAAAAAGCTGCAATTCCCTTACATTAGTTCTACTGCTGGTCTGACCTCAAGGTGTACTGTTTTAATGAATTAAACCCTCAGGAAATTTTTTACTTTTGCTTTGTAGGGTTAAGATGAAGTTTCCCAGAACAGTGAGCTGATTTAATACCTCATGGTGATTGAAATGGTCAGTCTTTCATCTCCCAACCTTCTCAGCCATGTGATCTTGCAGCTCCCTTAGCTTTGTGGGCTCTGATCAATTAAAATTGGTCGATTCAGAAGGAGCTGACCTCACAGAAAAACTCAGGTTTTTATACTGAGTCAGTTTACTGTTGATACAACTCCTTGGACGAGCTCATAGGTAAGCTCTGGTAGTGATTGAGAGGAGAGTGGTTGTAGAAGACAAGGACAGGATCACAGAATCACAGAATGGTAGGGGTTGGAAGGGACCTCTGTGGGTCATCTAGCCCAACCCTCCTGCCGAAGCAGGGTCAAGCTGTCATTGAGTGGAAGTCACTGGTCTGTACACAGTAGGATCTTTTGTGTGTTAAACACCAGTGAGAGTGATCTGAATGACCAGAGTAAAGATAAAACTTCACAGAGGTTGAATTAATTGAATAAATATGATGGAATTGATGCTGATTTGCTTTAATTAGTTTGTTAAATTTGACATTTATGTTGACAAACATAAACCAGAATCATTCTGAGGGCAAGAGTAGCAACTGCCCACTCCAAACCCTTACAGGTATATATTTTATTTCAGTGAAGAAGGGATGTGGGTTGGAAGGAAATCCTAAGACTTGCCTATAAGCCATCTTGCTTTCTTGTATTCCCAACCGAATATATGAATTAGTGGTAGAACTTTATACTGGTTGAATATGTAGTTTTGCATAGAAAGTAAAAGGATAATAAATGTCATCTGCTTAGTCCAAGAGCTGACTGTATTATAGGCCTGCTAAAATTAATCTTTATGGACTTCTGTTATTTGGATGGAGACGTTTCCCTGTTGGCTCAGGGCAGTGTTTCTGCAGCAGAAAAGTCACAAACCAGAAATTTTGAAACTGTTGTTACACTCTGTGTAAGGTAGAAAAAGTGTACCAGTTCTAAACTGGTGGGATAGTGGTAACAGTGTTTCCTCCTGTAACAATCTCCTTCAGATTTTTGCTTTGTGTGTTTTGGAAGGGATGTAGATGAGGAGATTGGCCCTATATAGACAAACCCTTAAGGGAAGCATACAGCTTTTCTTGATCTGTGTTGGGTTTTTTGATGGTCTGAGAAGCTTGTGCAGGAGATCAATCCGAGGTATTGTGTAACTTGTCCTGGAGAAGCTGATATGCTGCAAGTTTGTAACGTAACTTGTTCTGCTACAGTTTGTACAACTCATGTGAGGCCATGTCTGAAGAAAGTTGTAGGAAAATAAATTAAGTTGCTTTAAAACCAATTAGTCTGATGAGACCTCTTTGTGAATATTTTTCTTTTGGTATAAGAAGTTTAATTTTCTATAAATCAGTTCCAGTTCAGTTTAAGCTATGCTGAAGCATGCACTGTTTAATGTGTAACAAGGGTGTTAGTGTAGCCCTTGAATCGGTTTAAGTAAGGTGGTCATTTCAAAGCAGCCTAAGACGGTCACACTGCTTGATGCAGCAGTTTTGTCCACTTCCTTCCCTCCCTAAGCTGGCAGGAAACTAGCTGAACCATAAAACTTGAATAGTTTTCTCCTAGCTTAGTGTGCTGACATGTCTTGGTAGACTGCCAGAACTGGTGTAAGAGAGAGGGCAGGAGTATTTCTGCAGTTGGGCGCAGGAAGCGCAGAGCTTTGTTAGCCAGCATTTAAATAGGGTTAGGCTGTAATGAAACTAGAGCTTAAGGCCATAGGTGACACTTCTTGCTTACACTTTGTCATGTGATATGTAAGAGAGCGCCTATAGCAGTGGTCAGAGCTACGCAGCCTTCCACATTCATCTTTAGCTTCATTTTTCTACCCTTCTCCTTAGTCTGGCACTGATGTTTATACTGTTGCATAGTAAGCTGTATCAAGTAGCTGATCTAGCTGAAAATTGATCATTTTTTTTGTAGTATTATTTTTTGCCTGAATCATAAATTGGTTAACCCTACTATTACATACAAGTGCCTGTCTGCACAAAGTTGTGGGGCCAGACATCTGGTGAGATGGGGAAGGGAAGAGGAGGAGAGTTACTGTAGCAGTTGTAATGTAGATCTGATTATAAGCTGTGCATGTGCAGCTTTACTAAATACGAGGTTTTAAAATATGCTGCTCTTCATTGGAACAAGACGGCGTAAGGCATTTGAGAACTGGAAATGGGAAACGACAGCTTAAAGAGAATAACTGAGTCCAAAAACACAAAATGGAGTCGGCAGAGGATTACTGTTTAGCAAAGGAGAAAGGCCATGGATTAGATAATTATAATATTTTGTCCTCTGCATATGATTCATTAACATGTCTGACAGAAACATCTTGTTATATTCTGTCCCAGCCCCATGGCCTACTTTTTAACCTTGTTTATTAAATATTTCAAGATGGGATTTGCAAAGCTTTCTGGAGAATTTTTTGAGTATTTCCAGGTTGTGATTCCAGAGCAGCATAACCAACTTAATTTCTTCACTTGCACTTGTTAGCTTTGGACAGCACTGAACTCTCCACTGGGCTTTTTCATCCTATCAACCTGGAAGATTTTTTTTTTTTTTTAATTCTTGGGTTAGTTTTCTGCTAGTTTATCTTACTACCAACAGTAGTTAGCTCTGGTGGCAGATGGACTTGCATGTAGATTTCATATGTTTCAGCTAGTACTGTAACTGTTGCTGGTCTAGCAACTAGTCAAAAGGCGCTCTTTAACTCTCTTCTTCCCGTTACCAGTCGTATATCCCTTATACTTCCTTTGCATCTATGCTGGCTAGCTATGCTGTTAGCCAGTGCTGAGTTAGTTAAGCGCTTGGGTGTAGAAGTAGTTTTCTACCTGCTTATCTCCCAGATTACTCGGGAGCTGGACAGATGTCATTGCTAGGAGCAGACTTGCCACAGTCAGTGACAACTAGTCATTAGATGGTCTTGTCGTAAAATCATATACTGATACACTGCTGCTTAATGGTGAGAATTCTGACTTTGACAGCTTTTATATTGCTGCAGGTTTGTGTTGAAGGCTCTTTGGTCTTAGGGACTTCTCTCAGTGGTAAAAGATTTGGATATTTTGAATATAAATGCAAAATTACTAGTAAAATGGAATTTCCAGAATACATTATGTATTTTGTAACAGTTTCATAGTAGTACATTGTGTATCGACTTTCTGTGCAGTGATACCAAGTATTTAATCACATAGAAATGAGATTCTCACTCCAGTGTGAAACATAAT